TTTCAATTTTTTCTTCTTGCTTCTTATTTATATCCTTTTTCATGTAAATACTTTACAACTTCAAGATGACTATTTTCTCGTCTCATTAAATTGGAAAAAGCATATTTAATTAAATTTTCAGGTCCTCTTAAATTTAAATCTTCAATAAAATATTTAAGAATTTCTAAATGTTCATTAAATACAGCACACATAAAATCAGTTTCATTGACTTTATAATTTAAAGATATTAAATATTTAACTACATCTAAATATCCATCTACTACAGCATTATTAATTGCATCTTTTGTACCTTTATACCCTAATTCATGTAAATATTTAATTACTTCAAGATGACCATTCATTGCAGCATAATTAATTGCATCTTTTGTACCTTTATACCCTAATTCATGCAAATATTTAATAATTTCAAGGTGACCATTTTCTGCAGCATTATTAATAGCAAGTTTATTACCTTTATACCCTAATTCATGTAAATATTTAATAATTTCAAGGTGACCATTTTCTGCAGCATAAGCAATTGCATCTTTTGTACCTTTATAACCTTTTGAATGTAAATATTTAATTAGATCAAATCTATCTATTTCAACAGCAAAGTCAACTTTATTTTCAAAATTATCGTTATACCCATAGTTTTTTAATATTTCAGTAATATAATATATCTGAGATGAAGGATTAATTATTTCGTTTTGAATTTTATTTTCCATTCTTTTTTATATATACAAGAAAATTATTTAACTTATTTTTCAATTTTTTTATTTTTTGTAAAAAAATAAAAAAATATTTAATTCTGTAGTCTAATTATCAAATACAACTTCATCTTCATCATCTTCATTATCATATTCAGTAGTTTCTGTAATTTCAGTAGTTACTGTAGTAACTTCTTCAACTTCATCATCTTCTTCATCTTCATTATCTTCATTATCTTCATCATCTTCATCTTCTTCATCTTCTTCATCTTCATCATCTTCTTCATCTTCATTATCTTCATTATCTTCATCATCTTCTTCAGTCATTTCAATATCATTATCGTATTCAGTAGTTTCTGTAATTTCAGTAACTTCAGTAGTAGTAATTGTAGTAACTTCAGAATCTTCAGTCATTTCAATATCATGAATATCAATTATATTTAATTTTTCTTCTATTAATCTTAATCTTTGTTCAATTGATTTTAAAAATGAATTTTGCATTTCGTTTTCCATTCTTTTATATATAAAAGAAAATTATTTAACTCATTTTAAATTTTTTGATTTAAAGTATTTTTTACAAATAATAAAAGAAAAATGTATGATGATGAAATTAATGAAATATCAGAATTTCAAAAAGAATTTAAACTTTTTGAAGAAATATTAAAATTTGAATTTGAAGAATCAGATTCTGAAGATGGCACTTATTATACATCTGATGAAGCTACTTATTATACATCAGATGATGAAGAAGTTAAAGAAAAACCTATAGTTCCAATTCCTTTAAAAACAGTTCAAATCATGGAACTGCATAAAGATAAGCTGAAATGGATTAATTATGTTCCAACTTATAATGTTATTAATGATGATTTTCCTGCTCTTGATGATACTTCTTTTAAAAAACATTACAAAAACAGAAAATTTAGTTTTGAAAAACCATTTAATGTAGATATTAATTTTACTGAAGATGGAAAACCTTCAACAATTCATTTTGTAGAGAAACTACCCATTTTCTGTAAAAATATTTTAAAAGATAATTATTGTCATTTTGAACATAGATGTAAATACAATCATGATATTCCTTATTGTAATACTGTAAAGGAAAGACTCATATGCACTAAATCTTCATGTCAATATAGACATTTATCTCTATGTTCTGAATACCCAAAATGTAAGAATAAAAAGTGTAGATTGTTTCATCCCAAAAAGTCAGAATTATTAAAATTAAGAAAAGCTAAAACTAAATTATGCAAATATATTCTTGATAAAAAAGAATGTAAAAATATAAATTGCAAATATGCTCATTATTTAAAAGAAATTGAAGAAAATGTAGAAATTTGTCATTATACTCCATGTAAATTAGTAGAGAGTAAATTAAAGAAAAATAAAAAAGGAGAAAAAACATTAATATATAAAAATAATGATAATAAAAAGTGTAATTTTTTACATCAAGGTGAAAGCATTTTAAATTATATTGCAAGAACTTTAAAAACAAAATAGATATGAGGATTACAGAGTGATTTAAAAAAAATCTTTACATTTATAAAATGTATAATAGTAGAATGTTTTTATATTATGAAAAGAATGAACAATATAGAATAAATTTTTATATTAATTCAGATTTAGAACATAGAGCAATAAATGATAGACATATTAAAGTATTCGCACAAGAAGATTTTACAGTAAAATCAAATTTATATAATAACATTTCTTTAATGTGTGGTGTTGAAATAGATAAAGGACATATAGTGATTTCAATTGCAGAAAATTATAAACCAGAACTAAATTTACTAAATTCTATTGTAACAGAGTCTACT